ATGAGTCCAGGCAGAAACAAAGGTGCTTCCAACGCTCAAGTGCACCACCAAGCTAGAGCCTTAAAAACCGCCCAGCTCAGGCTGAACTGTCAGATACTTATAATGTTCTCAATGCAAAGATGTTAAAAATATATTTTTAACCAGATTTTAAAAATAAAAGCAACATCAGAATTAAAAAAAAAAAAGAAAGAAAGAAAGCCTCTCCAAGAGAGGCTGTGTTTCTCTCTGTCAAATAAATAAATAAAATCTTAAAAAAAAAAAAAAAAATGAAAGGCCAACTGTAAGTTGCTGCAAAATGTCATCTGCGGGCGCCTAGGTGGCTCAGTTGGTTAAGCGACTGCCTTCGGCTCAGGTCATGATCCTGGAGTCCCTGAACCAAGTCCCCGCATCGGGCTCCCTGCTCGGCAGGGAGTCTGCTTCTCCCTCTGACCCTCCCCCGTCTCATGTGCTCTCTCTCAAATAAATAAATAAAATCTTTAAAAAAAAAATGTCATCTGCTTTTCTTTGGAGAATGAGATTTGGGTGATTTTTTTTTCTTTTTTGCATCTTCCTACAGTTTACAAAAATAGTAAATGTTACATGTCTACCTTCCAAATGAAAATAACCATAATTTTTTTCAGGTTATAAAAGTAATATGTGGGTTCCAGTTCTGATATGACGCTGAACTTGAACTACTCCAGGACTCAGTCTCGGGTGTCTTTCACTCAGGTGCAGCACCATTGCAAATCTGAGGAACATGTGAAGGTTAATTGTATGTGTCAACTTGACTGCATTAAGGGATGTCCAGGGGCGCCTGGGTGGCTCCATCGTTGGGCGTCTGCCTTCGGCTCAGGTCGTGATCCCAGAGTCCTGGGATCGAGCCCCGCATCGGGCTCCCCGCTCCGCGGGAAGCCTGCTTCTCCCTCTCCCATTCCCCCTGCTTGTGTTCCCTCTCTCGCTGTGTCTCTCTCTGTCAAATAAATAAATAAAATCTTTTTAAAAAAGGGGGGATGTCCAGATAGGGATGTCTCTTAGGGTGTCCTCTCCAGAAGAAATTAGCATTTGAATCAGTAGACTAAGTAAAGATCACCACCTACGCGGTGGACATCATCCAAACCGCTGAGAACCTGAATAGAACTATTCAGCTGGCGGGGGCAGACTTGAGGGAACCGAGTTTCTCTGAATCCCCACCTCAGCGGAGAGGGCCAATAACAGAAGCAGATCTGTGACCGTGAAGGTGAAATTCCCCTTTCTTGCGTGCAAGGCCACCTGGGGGTTAAAAAAAAAGACTACATTTCCCAGCCTTCCTTGCGGAAGGTCATCCTGTCCAATGAGATGTGAGCAGTCGGTCACGTGACAGCTCCCGGGACTTTATGAGAGACGTCCCAGCACTTAATTTCTCCCGCCTTCATCCCTTCCTCCAGGCGCTGCCTGGAGTGGGGCGCACAGGATCGGGGAGAACTGGGCCACACCCAGGGAGGGGTGGGGAGGAGCCTGCACCCCTAAGGACTTTGGAGCACAGAGCTGCCCCGCCACCGCTGAACAGCCCACCGGCCTCCTCCTTTCAAATGAGAGGGAAACAAGCTTCTCTCTTGTTTAAGCCACTGTTCTTGCTGTTTCTGTTACAGCCGAACCTAATCTTAAATAATTATAGAGCTAAGGGAGGAGGTAGCAGGTTAGCGGGTCCCCGTGGGTGAGGGGGCAGAGCCGGAGGGGTGTATTTGGGAGCCGCAGACTGAAGGCCAGGGCAGAAGAGAGGAGCGGGGACCACCTGTGAACAGAAGGTCGCCCGTCCGGAGGCTTTTCAGGCCCGGAAAGGGTTTGAAGGGTCAGACACTATGCAGCAGAAGGGGTGGGGAGTGGTAGAGAGGTGCGGCAGGGTAACCGGAAACCAACACACCCACCCTCGGAGGCCAGCACCGTTCCCACCCAGGCTGAGGGGGCAGGAAGATGAGGGAGGAATTGTACCATTAACCCGTTTGGGGGTTTTCATTTCTACCCAGGACTGGACATGCTGATTACTGATCTCGGACCAAATCGGCCATTTAAGTGATCACAAGCTTTAGAGGAGATCAGAGTGAGCAACTGAGGCAGGCGACCCACCAGCGTTCTCATGGTCTCAGGGCACAGATGATCCGCACCCTCTGCAGCCCTCCCACCCCACTTCATTCATCCACCTGACAAATATTTTCTGAGCATAGACCAGGTGCCAGGAACTGTTGTAGGTGGTGACCCAGGGCAGTGAACAGAGCACCAGAGGCCCTGCCCTCATGGAGCTGACATGCTAATGGAGGAGACAGGTGCCACGGATGATTAAAACTCAAAATAAAAAAATACCGAGTATGTTATGTAGTGATCAGTGCAAAGGAAACAAAGCTGAGAAAGGGGACAGGAAGTAGGGGGTTAATTCCAGTGAGGGCCGCTAGGGAAGGCCTCACTAAAAGGCAACATTTCTGTAAAGACTAAAAATTGTTAGAGGGGCACAGGGAAGAGAAAATACAATCGTGTCTTGATGGCACTTACCGGGTACAACCATGCAGTAGGGGCACGTGTGTGTCCATGTGTGACAGAACGGGAATTGGCTCCACAGTCCCACCGGCTAGGGTGAAGTCCCTAGCTCGTTTCCCACCCCTTCCTGAAGTGGGGTGGGAGGGCTGCAGAGGGTGCGGATCGTCTGTGCCCCGAGACCATGAGAACGCTGGTGGGTCGCCTGCCTCAGTTGCTCACTCTGATCTCCTCTAAAGCTTGTGATCACTTAAATGGCCGATTTGGTCCGAGATCAGTAATCAGCATGTCCAGTCCTGGGTAGAAATGAAAACCCCCAAACAGGTTAATGGTACAATTCCTCCCTCACCTTCCTGCCCCCTCAGCCTGGGTGGGAACGGTGCTGGCCTCCGAGGGTGGGTGCGTTGGTTTCCGGTTACCCTGCCGCACCTCTCTACCACTCCCCACCCCTTCTGCTGCATAGTGTCTGACCCTTCAAACCCTTTCCGGGCCTGAAAAGCCTCCAGACGGGCGACCTGAAGTGTCTGGGGCGGAGATTGACCGTGACCCTGTGTAGGATGGGCTTCTCAGCCCAGCTCCAGATCTTAAGTATGGCCAAGAATGGGGCCATGTGTCACCAGCCCTGGGCAGCATCAGTGACACCTCCTCTCAGGCTGGACAGCACTATCTGGGAAGGAGGTTGGGCCCCAGAGATTGTACAGTCTCCTGTGTCTGGCCCTGTGGCATCAGGGGCTGGGGACAGCACAGCGAGACCATGCTCCTGCCCCACCAGAGCCCACCACCTCTGCCATTTTCCACTCCCAACAGGCAGACAGTCTGATGGGGTTTTTCCAGGCTAGGCCGGTGGCCTGACCCAGCAGGGGCCATGAGGACAGGGCAGGGACCAATCCTGGACAGCCAGGAGAGACGAGGTGTGTCCCTGAGCCCCCATACCTGGGGCTGGGGTTTGGGGGTCGGGGAGCAGTTTTGCCAGGAGCAGGCAGAGGTCAGGGTTGGCCATGCCCCCACCCCACATCCTGTTTTTGGAATGTGGGGCCCCAGCACATGCTTTCCTTTGGACTTTGTCCAAGGCAGTGTTTCCCCACCCAGGCCCACTCCCAAGGGAACTCTGCATGACGGTGGGCAGGTTTCCCCGGCACATCCATCATTAACCTAGGGTTTTTCCAGGCTGGGCTGGACCCCTGAGCCAGTGTGGGTGAAGCGCCCGTTTCCAACCTCTTCCTGAAATCAGGTCAGGGGGTCCCTGTCAACACATGGAAAATTATACAGGCCCCCATGGCTGAAGGGAAGAGGAAATGTCGTGGAGGAGGAGAGTCTGGGCCTCCCCACTCAGAGCCGGGCAGGCATGGTCCACTTCCAGTGTCTGGGCCCACCAGACCCAACAAAAGCCCTGGGAATTGTCGGGCCCTGGGAAACCCAAGCAGGCTAGAGGGAGAGCAGTTCCATGATGGGCTCAGGCACATGGGCTCCCAGCCAGTCAAGCCAGGCATGAGACAGGGAACAGCTATTTACATGCTGTGTGACTGTAGGCAAGTGGCTGAGACCCTCCGAGTCTCAGCTTCCCTCCTGCCAGGGTCATCAAGAGGATTAAATGTGCTAATTTGTGTGACGGGCTCAGCGCTGGGCCTGGCAGAGAGCAGGTGCACAGGTGGAGGGGAATGGTGTGTGTGTTGGGTGGATTCCTAGAAAGGCCTACAGGGGACGAACAAAATGTTTCAACCTGGGAGTGTCCCCTCCCTGGCCACTCAGGTCAGCATGAGTCATCCTAACTCTTCCCCTAAGGGACAGCTTCTGCCACCTAGAGTCATAGGATGTGATTCAGAGCCTTCTAGGAGAAGTCTATTTTTCCCACTATAAAATAACATGCTTATTATAATAAATCTGGAAATTATAGAAAAGCAGAAAGAAAGAAAAAGCTTTTATTTAACCACCAATGCTGACCACTCCTGATGCCTTAATGGTTTCCATATGGGATTTTTTTTTCTGGGCACAGGTTTTCTTTGTTCTCCGTAATATGATTGGGACCTTTGCTTTAAGACAAAGCGCTGGAAGGAAACCTGGGGGTCAGATGGCCCAGCATCCTCAGTTGACAAGCCAGGAGACTGGCCCAGAATTGCTCAGTAACTTGTCCAAGGCCATCAGTGACAGAGCTGCTGCCCCCAACTCAGCACCAAACCTCTCTTCAGCCTCAAAGGTGGCAGTCAATTGATAGTGGATCTAGGCCTTCCAGTTTGAGGGAGTCTGTTCCATGGGCTTCCATAACCTCCCCCCTCAAAAGCAGTTGGTTCTGATTAACCCCCTCCCCCATTCCCAGAAGGAGACACAGCAGTGGGATGGGGGTAGGAGTGGGTTAGGGAGAAAGGGAGGGCTGGCAAAGCCCAGCAAGGGGCATGGCCCTGTGTCTGTTCCCAAGGGTGGAGCCAGCCAACAGGGCCACCCTGTCCCTTTAAGAGAAGGCGGAGAGCAAGCCCCTCTCATCCATTCTGTCCTGTCATCTGTCCTGGCCAAATCCAAAAGGGAAAATGAAAAAGGGCCTAGGAGGAACAAGTCCCAGCCATCTCCCAGGATCCCTCCCTCAGCTCTAAAACCTCAGCTCCAGCTCCAGGGTGAGTGGGGTCAGGTGAGGGTCTGGGGGGCGCCAGGGGGCTGTGGGACCCATGTGAGTGTGTGTGTGTGTGTGTGTGTGTGTGTGTGTTGGGGGAGGTTCTCAGGAGATGTGGGAGCCTGGAAGCTGAGGGACACGAGGGAGGAGATGGGAGAGGGCTGGGCCCGTATTCCCACCACTCTGCGGTGGGATGGCAGGGGACACCTAGGACAAAGGATAGAGTTAAGGAAGTGGGACTACTTTTGTGTCCACCCCCCAATTCTGAGAGGAGTTCACTGCAATAAGAAGGGCAAGAGAAATGGTGGGCAGAGAAAGAAGGAGGTGAGGTCCCTCTGGGTCTACTGGCTCCCAGCTCTCCCAGGGGTACCAAGTTGGGTCTGGAGTCCTGGGTTGGAGGCACCATGGTTGCCCATGGAAAGCATCCTGGAGCACATAAGGGCACCCCTGGGTTTCTGCTTCTATAGTGCGATGGGTGGCTGCCCCTCCTGATGTCCAAGTTCACACCCTACAGATCTGGACTCTGGAGGAGCCAGCGGTCCAACCAAGCAGGCCCATGGGGGTCTAGAGCTAGAGCACGACGGTGGGGCTCCTCCCCCGCACCTGTCGGTCCCAAGGAGAAGGGCACCCACAGTGGAGAATCTCCTAACGCCTCCTGCCCGCCACCCCAGCCCCGACTCCCGAGTTCCCACCAAATCCCAGCTAAACCCAGGCCTCACTGAGCCCCTGCCTCGCCCCAAAGTTAGAGGAGGGCCAGCTGACCTCATCCCATGGGCCGGGGTGGGAAGGGGGGGGGACGCTGATGGGGCCGGCCTCTGACGCCCCCGCGTCCGCAGCGCCATGGGGGAGTGGGCGTTCCTGGGCTCGCTGCTGGACGCCGTGCAGCTGCAGTCGCCGCTCGTGGGCCGCCTGTGGCTGGTGGTCATGCTGATCTTCCGCATCCTGGTGCTGGCCACGGTGGGCGGCGCCGTGTTCGAGGACGAGCAGGAGGAGTTCGTGTGCAACACGCTGCAGCCGGGCTGCCGCCAGACCTGCTACGACCGCGCCTTCCCCGTCTCCCACTACCGCTTCTGGCTCTTCCACATCCTGCTGCTCTCGGCGCCCCCCGTGCTCTTCGTCATCTACTCGGTGCACCGGGCCGGCAAGGAGGCGGGCGGCGCGGACGCCGGGCCCGGGCCGCCGCCGCGCCGCCGCTGCTACCTGCTGAGCGTGGCGCTGCGCCTGCTGGCCGAGCTGGCCTTCCTGGCGGGCCAGGCGCTGCTCTACGGCTTCCGCGTGGCCCCGCACTTCGCGTGCGCCGGCCCGCCGTGCCCGCACACCGTGGACTGCTTCGTGAGCCGGCCCACCGAGAAGACCGTCTTCGTGCTCTTCTACTTCGCCGTGGGGCTGCTCTCGGCGCTGCTCAGCGTGGCCGAGCTGGGCCACCTGCTCTGGAAGGGCCGCCCGCGCGCCGGGCGCCGTCGCCAGGGGGCCGAGCGCGACGGCCGCCGCCACCGCGCGCGCGGGGAGGCGCGGCAGCCGCTCCCGCCGCCCCCGGCCCCGCCCTCCCGGCGCCCGCGCCCCGCCCCCCGCGCCCCGCCCGCCTACGCGCCCCCGGCCCCCGCCGGCGACAGCGAGGGCGGCAGCGGCCGCGGCAAGGCGTCCCTGGCCACCGTCCGCCAGGACCTGGCCGTCTAGAGGCGGGCGGCGGGTGCCTCCGCGAGAACGGGCCCCGCGAGCCTGCGCGGGCGCTTCCCGGGTGCTCTCGGTTGGGCGGGTGAGGGCGCGGGGGATGAACGGAGGCGGGTCCGGATGCCCTCCCCGCTCCAGGTGGCGGGGAAGGAGGCCCGGGGCTGAGAGGAAGGGCACAGGAGGACCTAGCAGAGAGGAAAGTGGGGGTTCGGGTGGTGCTCAGAGAAAAGTCATCGTGATACCAGCTTCCCGCGCGCGGGCCTCTCCTTGTTCAGACTGAGGTGCGGCCCGGGTGCGGGCTCCCTACGTGTGTGCACACATGTACACGTATGTAGAGTGTGAGCTGCGTGTGTGCATGTGTGTACGCACAGGTGCATCCTACGTGGGCTCGCGGTGTGTGCATGTGTATGCCCTGTGTGGGTTCTACGTGTGTGCATGCATCTGTATGCCCTGGGTGACTGCGTGGGGGGGGGGGGGGGAGAGATCTGATAAGGTGCCAGCAACAGGCACAATGGCTCCCCCCTTACCTGCAGGGGTATTGTAGGAAGCTCTCCCTGCTTGATGGAGCCCACACAGGGAGGAGAGAGGTGCCCCTTCACCCTGGGCAGGACTCGGTGTGGAGGGCTTGTGGGCACCATCCACACCCTCGACCGTGTGGCCTGGGCAGGGTGGCCAAGCGGTCCCTTTTGTTGGAAGTAGAGTGGGGGTGGGCAGTAGGGTCAGAAGGCCGGACTCTGTCCTAGCTTCACTCTCACACCCTGCTGCTGTTCCCCAAGTCCATAAACGTGGCCAAGTTCCTTCCATCCTGGAAAGAAATCCGCCCCAAAACGTGCCCCCGGCCCTGCATTTCCCTGCAGCCACGACCATCTTCCCTCCTGGGGGAAAACAAAGAGCAACCTACGTGGCTTCCTCTTGTCCCCTTCCTGCCTCCTCTCTGCCCCCATCTGTCTTCTTCCCTTGCCACCCCAGTGGGGCTGCTCTCCCGAAGATCACCCAGGACCTAAGTGACATCCAGGGGCCACCATCTGACCCTGCCCTGGGCTTTATCCAACCCTGCTGAGCAGGCCACCACCACCCACCCTGCCTGACTGTCTCCTAGTCCTCCTGCTTACGCCCTCGGGGGCTCCCTGTCATTGGGGTAAGTCCAGCACCCGAATGAGGCTTCTGAAGTCCCGCCCTGTCCAGTCCTGCCCCCGCCCCATGGCCTGGGCTTCCTATGGTTTCTGTACTCCAAACCATCCCGAGTTTAATCTTCCTGCCAGGCACAGTGACCCATCTCCTTCCAAATGTTTGAACGTGCTGTTTCTTGGCCTGGAGGAGCCTGCCTCTCTGCAGCACCCCTCCCCACCCTAGCTAATACCTACCTACCTTTTGGTCTCATTTGGGAAGAAATAGATGCCGTCCCTCACACTGTCCACCCCCAAGGCGGAGCTAGACGCCCCGCGGCACCCCTGCCTCCCCAGGCATAGCTCGCCTGCTGGATGGCATTGCTCGCCCCTCCACACTGGCGCAGAGGAGGTGCTTCGTCAATTTGCGTTCATGAGGGACTGAAGGTGTCCCTGAGGCCCAAGGGCTTATCCACGCGCGTGCTGTGCAACATTTCTCTGATGATGGTCAGCTATGTGTGCAAAGCCTGGACCTCCAACAAACTCAGAAGTGGATATCCAGCTGTTTTCCAGACGTATTCATTCAAGAAATATTTGTTGAGCACATACTATATGCCAGGCAATGTTCAAGATCAGCGCTGTTCAGTAGAAATAGGATGTGAGCCACATGTGTAATTTTAAATTTTTCAGTAGCCACATTAAAAAATAAAAGGAAACGGGTGCCTGGGTGGCTCAGTCGTTGGGCATCTGCCTTCGGCTCAGGTCATGATCCCAGGGTCCTGGGATCGAGTCCCACATCGGGCTCCCTGATCCGCGGGAAGCCTGCTTCTGCGTCTCCCACTCCCCCCTGCTTGTGTTCCCTCTCTCGCTGTCTCTCTCCCTGTGTCAAATAAATAAATAAAGATCTTTTTAAAAAAAAGTAAACAGATGAAATTAATTTTAATAACATATTTTCTTTAACCCATTGCATCCAAAATGTTATTTCAACACATCATCGATATTAAAAAAAAAGTATTAAAGAGATATTTATTTTTTCTTTGTACTAAGTATTTGAAATCTGGTGTGTGTTGGGGCGACTGGGTGGCTCAGTCGTTAAGCGTCTGCCTTCGGCTCAGGTCATGATCCTGGGATCCTGGGATCGAGCCCCACATCGGGCTCCCTGCTCTGCGGGAAGTCTCTTCTCCCTCTCCCACTCCCCCTGCTTGTGTTCTTCTCTCGCTGTGTCTCTCTCTGTCAAATAAATAAACAAAATCTTGAAAAATATATATAAAAAAAAATCTGGTGTGTATTTTATGCTTAGAGCACATCTCAATTTGGACCAGCCACACTTTTTTAATGATTTTGTTTATCTATTTGAGAGATTGAGATAGAGTGACAGCATGCGTGGGGAGGAGAGGGAGAAGCAGGCTCCCCACTGAGCAGGGAGCCCGCCGTGGGACTCAATCCCAGGACCCTGGGATCATGACCTGAGCCAAAGGCAGATGACCAACCTACTGAGCCACCCAGGCGCCCAGGACCAACCCCATTTTTAAGACTCAGTCACCGCATGTGGCTAGTGACTGCTGTATTGAACAGAGCAGATCCAGATGTTGGGCTCCAGTGGTGAATAAAACCACTGGAGGGGCAGGCAATAGAATATACTGCCAGGTATCGTTTAAAGTAAGGCAAGACAGTTACTATCGCTGGGGAGTGACACTGGAACAGACAGTAGCACAGAGCTAGCCATGAAGCTGGCTCCAGGAAGAGCATTCTGGGTGGAAGGAATGGCAAGTACAAAGGCCCTGAGGCAGGAATACGTTGAGGGTTGTTTGAGGCCAGCAAGGAGGCCCATGTGGCTGGAGTGGAGTAAGGGACAGGAGGGAGGGTCACTAGCACCTCAAATGCAACCCCAACTGCCTTAGTTTCCCCTCTCCGTGCTGCTGTCTTCATCCACCCAGGCCACGTCCACCCTCTACTGCCAAAGCCTCTCTTCTGCCCGCCTCCCATGTCCTGTGAATCACCTGGTCCTCCCATTTTGCCACCTAAGCATTTCCTCCCCTTATCTGCTCTCACCCTTTGGGGGCTGCCCAAGGTCAGCCCTGTCCCCGGTGACCTGGAGTGCTCCCACAGCTTCTGCTCTGCTCCCTGCAATTCCAATCCGAACAGCTCACTGGCTGGCTTGAAATCCTTCACTCCCATCGCCCTCAGGGTCAAGTCCAGCTCCTGAACCAGACCTGGCCTGAGCCCATCCCAGCCTCTCCAACTTACTTCTTCCAGCATTCCAACCAAAATGGTTAAAGCACAGAGCTGGTGACAGTTTCTGATCACATGACGCTATTTGTTTATCACCTCTGGCTAACTCTTCCCCTTAGACCTTCAGCTGGGAGGGGGCACCTCTTCCAGGAAGCCTTCTGAAACTTGCCCCAGGCCTGGTTAAATGCCCTGCACTCCCGTATGCCCAAGACTTAGTCACTGCCTTCCCCAGCTTGTACCCCAGTCACCGTCCTTGGGTCAGTCTCTCCTGTGGAGGAGGGGACCGGACCCCGTGCAAAGCACATGTCAGACCTCAGTGATCAGACTCCACAGCGGGGTTCTCAGCTGGGCAGTTCTGCCCCCCGGGGACACTTGGCAATGTCTGCAGACATATTAGGTTGTCATAGCTGGGGGGAGGTGCAACTAGCATCCAGTGGGCAGAGACCAGGGATGCTGCTAAACACCCTACAATGCACAGGACAGCGCCCCCCACCCCAACAAAGAATTCCTGGGCCCAAAATGCCACTTGTGCCGTGGTTAAGAAACTGCTCATCAGCAATGAACTGTGAGCCTCAGAGGGCAACCTCAAGCCCCAGGGTCAAAGGTACTACCCCGGGGTGGGGGGGGCGCTCTGTAAATTCGGGGCGACTGCTCTAGTCGCCACAATGAGGGCGACCCTCTTGGCATTTGGTAGGCACAGACTAGAAATGCCAAGATGCCCTCTTGCAATACAGAATTATCACGCGTGGGGGCGCCCGTGGCTCAGTCGGAAGAGCATGTGACTCTTGATCTTGGGGTCTTGAGTTCGAGCTCCACGATGGATGCAGAGCTTACTTAAAAAAGGCGGGGGGCGCCTGGGTGGCTCAGTCGTTAAGCGTCTGCCTTCGCCTCAGGTCATGATCCCAGGGTCCTGGGATCGAGCCCCGCGTCGGGCTCCCTGCTCCGCGGGAAGCCTGCTTCTCCCTCTCCCACTCCCCCTGCTTGTGTTCCCTCTCTCGCTGTGTGTCTCTCTGTCAAATAAATAAATAAAATCTTAAAAAAAGGGGGGGGGCGCGCCTGGGTGTCAGATGGTTAAGCGTCTGCCTCGGCTCAGGTCATGATCCCGGGGTCCTGGGATCGAGCCCCGCAGCAGGCTCCCTGCTCGGCGGGAAGCCTGCTTCTCCCCCTCCCTCTGCTTCTCCCCCTCCCTCTGCTTCTCCCCCTCCCTCTGCTTCTCCCCCGCTCATGTTCTCCCTCTCTCTCTATCTCTGTGTCTCGAATGAATAAATTTAAAAATCTTAAAAAAAAAAACCTGATTCTGTTCTACATGTAAAATATTAGGGGTTTGTGGATTTTTGGGGGGGGGCATGGTTTTATTATACATTGTCAGCTTTTATTTCAACATTCACCCATATTCCTTAAGTTTCCTGGGCTTCTTGTAGAGAATGGCTTCCAACCTTCTCACTTCTTTTATTTATTTATTTATTTTCTTCTCACTTCTTTTAAATGCCAATGTATTAGGACGATACCCATGCAGCTGTGTGCATTAACACACTGAAATTCATAGACCTTTCCCTTCAGCTACAGCTACGCTACAGTGTGATAGTATAGTGATTTTTGTAAAGCACGTGGGTAGGTGTGTTATGTTAAATTTCCGTCAGATACATAAAGAAAATGTTAGGAAAAAATTGCTGGAGGACGAGAACCTCTGTCCCCGCGCACATTCTGGCCGCCCAGACGGCGAGATAAGTGAGGAGCTGCCGCCACCTGGTGGCTGAAATAGAAATGGCAGGCAGGCCCCTGTGGAAGGAGCTCTTCCTGCCCGGGAAATCTCTTCCTGCCCAGGCGCCCTGAGAACCCGCCCCAGACACAGCCTCCACTGCCACCTCCCTGGAGCCCTCAGACCTCAGTGCTTGACGCTTCTTTGGGGGCATCAGGGTTCCAGGAAAGACCTCTGGCTGAGAGGTGGGAACCCTGAGTACTGGGCCCCCATCTGCGATGAATTCGCTGTGTGCCCTTGGGCAAGGGCTCTGCCCTCTCTGGGCCTTGATGTGTAGGGTGAAGAGTGGAGAGAATTGGTCTTTGATGCCACTACAGGCCTGTCCACTTGATCCTCTCCACCAGGAGCAACCGAGTTCCCTCGCAAGCTGTCTTCTCTGCCTCCTGCCCACAGAGTGAGCTTAGGGGTAGGCAGGGGAGGGCAAGACAGTCCTTCTTGGACGCACAGGCATGGAGGGGCTGGCTTTCTAAGGCCATCCCAATCCTACGTTCTTGTTAGGTTGCCAAGGGCTCCTGACCTGGGTACCCATGCCAACTGCCACTCCTGAAGGTCAAGTCCGGAATAGAACTCCTCTGCCACTTAGTGACCCCCAGACCCAAGCTCTGGCTTCCAAGGGCTCAGGACTCTCTGAAGGCAGAGGCAGGCTTCCTCCCTCAGACCAAGATTCCCAGAGAGCTGGGGTTGGCTTCCTCCCTCAGACTGGGGACTCCCCGAAGGCGGGAACAGTTTCTCTTCTCCCCCCCGCCGCCCCACCTCCAGCCAGAGCTCCCTGACACGGGCTATGTAGACCCCTAGGCAGAGGGCCTCCCAAGGGCAGGCCTATCTTGTTCCACCAAAGACCCCAGCGCAGCAAGGCAGGCCCCGAAGACAGCTTAGTCCCGGTGCTCCTAGCTGCCCCCCATCCCCAGCTCCCTGCCCACACGGGGCAAGAAGGCAGCGAGGCAGTGAGGCTCTGAGGCATGTGTAGAATAAATAGAACTTTATTCTTTATCCAGTAGATCTCAGTGGAAAGTCCAACAGTAACAGGTGCACCAGCGGGCTCTGGGGGGATGAGACCCCAACCCCGGGGCAAGGAGGGCAGGGCAGAACCAGCTCCCCCAGCCTGGGGGTGCAGGGGGTGAGGGGAGGGAACCCCCTGTAGGCCCGTCCTGCGGGGCAAGGAGGGGGCACGGGGATGGGGTGGGGAGCAGGGGGCAGGCCAGGGAAACAGAGGAACTCGGGCCAAGTGTGTCCGTTGGCCCATCGGTCCGCTGCGTGTGTGTGCGCGCGCGCGCGTTTGTGTGTGTCTGTCTGGGGGCCCTGTGGGCAGTGCTGGTGGCTGTGAGGCTGGGGGACGGGGCAGCTCGAACTCCTTGGCCAGCCCCTTCACAGTGGGGGCTGGGGGGCTTAGATGAGGGAGAGGCAGGTCTGCCAAGTCCACAGGGCTGAGAAACACACACGAGCATGTTCTGAGGGCCCCCCCTTGCTTTGCCCCCTGCCCTGTCTCTCATGGCGGGCCCCCTCCTCCTGGGGGCTGCCTGAAACTGTCCCCGCCCAGTGGTTAGGCAGAGGGAGAAGGGGAGGGCAGACCTCGGAAAGTTAGTACTTCACAGTTTTAAAGAGAAAACTGAGGAGAAAAAGGCTGGGGAGGAGGGCTAGAGGGTGCAGGGACATGGAGAGAATGTGGGAGCCCCTTGTGAGCCGCTCCCCTCCCCCAAGACCCACCCCCCTCCAGCTCTGGATCCAGCTCCCCCCAATACACAGCACAGATTCCTTCAGTATAAATGTGCTTAAAATGAAAATTCTTATTAAAAAAATCAAAACCAAAAAAAAATTAAAATAAAAACAAAACCAGCGAGAATTAATACCTGGGGGTTGGTACGGCAGGGTATGTACAGGGGGAACCCCCCACCCCTGGCCCACCCCCTCTGTCACCAACCGAGGCAGGGGGGTTTCCCGACCGGGGGGCAATGGCTTGTGGGTTCTGAGTATGGGGGAGCCAGGTCCTGGCATTTGCTGGTGATGAAGATGTGGCGAGGGGGGCAGAGGGCTGTCTTGATGAACGCAAGGCCCCCAGGCTCCATCCTGAGGCCCAGGACCAGGGGTCCTCACTCAGTTCACAACCTTGCCCCTGACGTCAGCCCAGGCTGCAGGAGCAGGCAGTCCATCCTGCCCAGGCCTCCCTCCGAAGAGTCGCCGCCTCCTCCCTCCTATCCCCGAGGAAAAGGAGGACAGGTGGGGGGGGGGCAGGGCTGGTGGGGGTCGCACGGTTGGTAGAAAGGCAGAGAAAAGCCAGGGCGTGGGGTGAGGGCTGTGTCCATGGGGCACGGGCAGTCACGGGGAGTGGGTGGCCGGGCTGCTTCTGTTT